AGAGCACCCCCAGAGCCGGCAGCACCCCCAGACTCAGCGCCCTCAGGCGCAGCACCCCCAGGCTCAGCACCCCCAGACTCCGTACACGCAGGCTCAGCACCCCCAGTCGCAGCACCCCCAGGCTCAGCACCCCCAGGCGCCGAACTCTCAGGCACAGTACCCTCAGCTCCAGTACCCGAAGTCCCAGCACCCGCAGCCCCAGCACTCCCAGGCCGAGTACCCGCAGGCTCAGCACCCCCAGGCTCAGCACTCCCAGCAGTACCACCTGCAGCAGCACCTGAGTCACCTGTGACCTCGACAGGCTCAGCGACGGGAGGAGGGTCTACCTGAGAGACACCTGAAGGAGCAGGACCTTGAGGGGGGAGGGGGTCTACCGGAGGGGGACCAGGAGCAAGGAAAAGCGGCGGGGGAGGGAGGGGGGCAGTGCGGTAGGGGAAGAGACGGTAAAAAGGGACCGACTCGTCAAAGGTGACGTCCTGAGAGGCGAAGACCCGGCGCGAGGTGGGGTGGTAAAACTGCCAGCCAGGCGCGTCAGGGACAAAGCCAAGGAAGACACAGGGAAGCGTGCGGGAGGAGAGCTTGTCCGCGGACGTATCGCGGACAAGGGCACGAGCACCCCACACCCGGAAGCGCGACGCATCGCCAACCTCCCCCGTCCAACGCAGTGTGGGCGAGGTCTCCGGCAAGGAGACACGGGGCCAGAGGTTGAGTTGATGCGCGGCGTACCGGACAGCAAACGGCCACAGAAAATGGGGAGCCGCCGCGTGGACCAAGGAGGTACGAGCGACCTCCATGACCAGGCCAATGCGGCGCTCAGCAACCCCATTCTGCTGTGGGGAGTCCGGAAGCGTGAAGGTCTGCTCGATGCCCTCCGCCTGACAGAAGGTCCTCAAGAGGTCGGAGGAGAACTCACCACCTCTGTCAGAGTGCAGACGCAGGACAGGAAGATCCGTCCGGAAACGGCGGCGGAGCTGGAGACGAACTGTGCGGATCCAAGGGATCAGAACAGCAGGGACCTCACCCTTGGTGCGCAAGGGGAAGACCGTGGTGTAACGCGAGTAGTCGTCGACAACCAGCAAAAAGTACCGCTCACCGCCCTGACCACGAACGCGGGCTGGGCCCCACACGTCCAGGTGGAGGGTCTGCAGAGGAGCCTCTGTCGGGGGGAACGAGGAGGAGTGAGGAGCGGCGCGCTGCCGCCCCTCGACGCAAGGAAGGCAAGGCGGCGCAGGCGAGGCAGGGAGGGGAGGGAGGGACCTGGGAAGACCAGACACAAGGTGGCGACGGTGCATGCCACGGAGGCGTGGCAAGGAGGGGTGACCCAGGCGATGGTGCCAGAGAAGAGTCTGGTGCGACAGGGAACGACACTCACAGGCGTGGGCCACCAGACCTGACGCGGACACCTGACCGACAGCAGCGACCTGGGGAGACGCAGTGGTCAGTGTGTAGAGACTCGACCCCGGCTGACGGGTAAACGTAGCCAGGTGACGGCCGGACCTGGAGCACGTGAGGATCGCCACACGCTGTCCTCCAGGGGTAAAGGTGTCAACCCACTGATCCTGGATGACAGCGTTGCTCACCAGGTTCGTCGAGAACGAGGGGAGGTGGAAACCCGACAACGAGCCAGACGGAACCGCTGGACACGGGAGCACAGTGGTGGACCGTGCAAGGACTGGGCCCCCAGAGGGGTCAGCCAAGGAGACTGGGACCGGTGCAGGAAGCGGTGTGAGCTCAGTACGGTCACGAAAGAAACAGCGGGAAGCACCTGAGTCAAGGGTGAAGGTGTGACAGGTCTCAGCCGGTGCAGTGCCTGAGAGAGCAGTCTCTGTGGGTGCTGTACCTGAGAGAGCAGACTCACAAGCAGCAGGGACAGTACCGGAGGGAGCAGCCACAGAGGGCACCATACCAGAGAGAGCAGACTCACGAGTACCTAGGGCAGCGGGCTCTATACCTGGGTCAGGCGGCACACACAAGTAACAGTCTCCCTCGGCACTAACAGTCAATGCATACATAGCAGCAATAATAGCATCATAGTCAAGAGCAAAGATATCAACACCAGCCCTCATCAGCTCCGCCCAGCGGGGGCGCTCAACATCCTCGCCCATCTCCTCACGCCAAGCGTCGTCAAGGCGGGAGAAGCAGCGGTGCTGGGTGTGGAACTTCCCACAAGTCTGTCCCGTGCGGTCACCTGTGCGAATGACATAAGAACAGCGGCCACTGCCCCCCGACGTCCCACGCTGAGCAAGCCACTCACGAAGCTGCTGGGTCGTCTGGGGACGCTGCTGCTGCTGGGAGCTCTGGCCCGAGCCAGTGCCTCCACTCCGACCTCCGCCGCCACCACTACCTCCGACCGCCACCGCCACCACCGCCACCGCCGCCACCGCCGCCACCGCCGCCACCGCCGCCACCGCCACCGCCACCACCGCCACCGCCGCCACCGCCGCCACCGCTCCCTCCGCCGCCCCCGCCTCCGCTGCCGACCCCACTCCCACCAGCACTCCCGCCACCGCTCCCTCCAGCACCGCCTCCCCCCCCACCTCCCCCACCTCCTCCCCCCCCAGCGCCACCCCCGCCACCCTTGCCCCCCTTGCCCTTGCCGGTGCGGCGCCTCCCACCAGGAGCAGAAGCAGCGCCAGCAGACTCAGCACCAAGGAAGTCAACAGCAGCAGCAGTAGCGTAGGAGGGAGCGAGGGGAGAGGGAGAACACCCCTCAAAGATGGGGGTGCGAGGAGCGCCACGAGCAGCACCGACAGCTACAATGGTCTTCTCGGCCGCTAGCAGCTTCTCCTCTAGGAGGGCGACTGTGAGCTCAGTGGGACAGCGAGCAAGGAAGTGGTCTCGAACTGAGCTGAGGGTGTCAGGGAGATGGGTGACTATGAAGTGGAGTGTCCAGTACAGTGGAGGGGGGTGCTTAGCGCAGAACTCGGTGGGAAGGGCGGCACGCAGGCGAGCATCACTAGTGCGAAGGTGGGTGATAAGATCGGCGACTGTAGCAAAGGTGGACAGGTCAGGGAACAGGTAAGGCAGCATGAGGCGGCTAAGCTCGGCTGTGGCAGGCGAGGAGTAGCGAGTAACAACAGCGTCGTACAGGGCCTTAGCGGATTTGCAGTCGCCAAAATGCTCGAGCTCAGCTAACGGCAGGTGACTGCGAATGGCTAGGCGAGCAGCTGCGTCACGAGTCTGCCAGTGGGAACGAACACTAAGCTCAGCTGTGGCGGGAGGGGCAGGCGCTGCACCAGACGCGTAGTCATAGAGCGACACATGCTCCTTGCTATCGCTCAGGAGGAACAGCTGCAGGTCATCTAGCCAAGTGGTGAACTGCACAGGGCGGCCCTCAGCATCGAACGACAGCACGCGGATGGAAGCCATAGCGACAGTGCGACTGAGCAAAGCAAGCTGCCGCAGCGCTGAAAGCAGAGAGCTCGGTGGGGAGCGCGGCGGGCGGGCGGCGCTCTGAGCGGGCAGCGTGGCAGGTAGCGCGGCGGGCAGGCGGCTCTGTGAGCGGGCAGCGCGGCGGACGGGTGGCGAAGCTGGCAGCGTGGCGGGCAGGTGGCGCTGCAAGCGGGCAGCACGGCGGGCGGGCGGGCGACGCTGCGAGCGGGCAGCGCGGCGGGCGGGCTACGAAGCTGGCAGCGCGGTGGGCAGGCGGCGCTGCAAGCGGGCAGCGCGGCGGGCGGGCGACACTGCGGGGGGGGGCAGCGCGGCGAGCGGGCGACGGTGCGAGCGGGCAGCGCGAGCGGATAGCGCGGCGGATGGGCGGAGCTATTGGCGGGCAGCGCGGCGGGCAGCGCAACGGGCAGCGCGACGAGCAGCGTGGCGGGCGAGGGCGCAACGAGGGGCGCTAACGAGGGCGCTAACGAGGGCGCTAACGAGAGGCGCACGAGGGCGCTAACGAGAGGCGCACGAGGGCGCTAACGAGAGGCGCACGAGGGCGCTAACGAGAGGCGCACGAGGGCGCTAACGAGGGGCGCGCGAGGGCGCTAACGAGGGCGCGCGAGGGCGCTAACGAGGGCGCACGAGGGCGCTACGAGGCTAGGGCACGGGGTAGCGTGGTAACCGCATGCGAGCGGTGGTGGGCCCTAAAAAAACGGTCGGTAGGTCCTAGGGACCTCCTGCTCTGAATACCATTTCAACAGGACTAGGCAAGAATGGTGCATTGAATGAAACAGTTGGGTACAAGTAGCAAACCCTAGTTGGGGTTGTACCCCATATTGGCTACCCCACTACAGCCTACCAACATATAACACATTACAATTTAACAGCTCACACTGCCAACATACCTTGCCAACCTGGACGAAAATCGAGACCCCACAGGTGGCTTCCGTGGCGATCGAGCCTTCGCTTCGGCAGGAGACGAAGCTGACTGGGACGAGCAGAACGTGGAAGGAGCCTCGGAAGAAGCCGGACCTCTCCCCTACTGCTCAGTGGACGTACCGATGGACGAAGATAACCCTCGCGAAAGCGTCAACGCCGAAACCTACTACCACTTCGCCGACAACGGTTACGTAACACCTGCTGAAGTCAACACCAACGAAGCAGAACGCATAGGGCCCAACTTCGCACCTGATCCAGAAGCTGGAGACGAGGCAGTCTATCCCGAGGACACCACACTCCCTCGCTACACACAGAGTGGACTCCAGATACTCGGGCTCGTCACCGCGGTCCACGGCGCCGCCATTCCTAAAGAGCCTGCAACGGTTCAGCAGGCTCTGGGGGGGGAACACAGGGAAAAATGGCGCGAAGCCATGGACAAGGAGCTGAAAGCGCTAGAAGAACGCAACACCTGGAAAATCGTTCCTATCGGTGTAGCACGAAACAAGACCATCCTCACCGGAAAATGGGTCTTCCGCGTGAAGACGAAAGCAGATGGCACCATCGACAAATTCAAGGCGCGCTGGGTCGTACGCGGCTTCGACCAAGAGCACGGACGCGACTTCACCGAAACCTTTGCTCCGGTCAGCCGACACACCTCACTACGCATTCTCCTCGCAATCGCCGCCATGAAGAAGAAAAAGCTACGACAAATCGACGTCGCAAACGCCTTTCTCTACGTCCCAAACGTCTGTGGTGTCGCAGGTAAGATTTCGACTCTCATCGAAAAGGACTAGGGTTCGATTCTTACAAGGCGCAATTTTGTAAACTTCAACCTGAGTTACATACTCGGTATAAAAGTTAAGGCATCCATCCAAAACAAGATCTATACTTGGTGTTATAAGTCGTACAATATGTGTTAACTTTGCAAAGCGCTTCGCAACCCTAAGACGATCTCGTCGCCTCTTGTTTTGTTTGGAATGTATGTGCCCGAGTAGCTTGCAGCTTGCAATTCGTGCCATCGTCCTCGCACTGTACTCCCATGTGAAAACCGTTTCGCGCCTTGTTTTGCTTTGGCAGAAAATTTTCTTGCCAGTGCCACACAATCCCAACCAAGCCAGGAACGTACCCCTTGACGCACCTGCTCCAGGTTTCTTGAATCCAAGCACCCCACGCTGCTCTCTTTACTTCCTCCCTCCCTATTACGACTCCCTACCAACTATTCTTCCAGTCGCCTCTCCTCACTCCAACGTCGCCTCACTCAACAACGTCGCCTCTCCCTCACTCCCCACCGTGGCGTCTCCCTCCCTCCCCATCATAGCCTCTCCCTCGGTCCCCTCCGTCGCTCTCCCTTCCTCCTCGCCGTCGCCCTCCATCCCTTCCCGCCGTCGCCTCTGGTGGGTGCACGAGCGCGAGCGCGGGCTGCTGCGCGACCGCGCGTTTTGTGAGGCACCGTCGTTTCAGGTGCGTTTTCGTTTCCTGGACCTTTTTTCCTCTCCACTCCCTCCAAAGTTTCATTTTTCTCCTACTTTTTTCCGTAAGTTCTTTTTGCCGGTTGGTCCTAGTGCGCTGGCGCCTAACGCGCTGGCGCCTAACGCGCTGGCGCCTAATGCGCTGGCGCCTAACGCGCTGGCGCCATGCGCGCTGGCGCCATACGCGCTGGCTCCTAACGCGCTGGCGCCATGCGCGCTGGCGCCATGGGCGCTGGCGCCATGCGCGCTGGCGCCATACGCGCTGGCGCCATGCGCGTTGGCGCCATACGCGCTGGCGCCATGCGCGCTGGCGCCTAACGCGCTGGCGCCATGCGCGCTGGCGCCATGCGCGCTGGCGCCATGCGCGCTGGCGCCATGCGCGCTGGCGCCATGCGCGCTGGCGCCATGCGCGCTGGCGCCATGCGCGCTGGCGCCATACGCGCTGGCGCCATGTGTGGACTTGGTGCCAAAACTTCTCCACTACCACTTCTGCTCTCTTTCCTTTCTGCTGCAGGTGATGCCTTCTGTGCATGCTAATGTGGTATATTTTATTCGTGATGCCTTGGATTCGAGTTTTAAGCCACACGTGTGAGACTTCAAATTAGATTTGCCTTCAATATTAATCTTCTATCGATTTACTGCACTGCTAGTAACAACCCTTTTCATCATGCTTTACTATTTCTACTGCAGCGCGCTGGCGCCTTGCTGCGGTGCGCTGGCGCCTTGCTGCGGTGCGCTGGCGCCTTGCTGCGGTGCGCTGGCGCCTTGCTGCGGTGCGCTGGCGCCTTGCTGCGGTGCGCTGGCGCCTTACATAACTCACTGAATTCACTCACGGCAATTTTTATTTTATTTCAATTTATTTTGCGTGACCTGTATGTTTTTCAGGATATGCGAGCCACATCGCGGGGGGCAGAGAAGGAAGGCGAGGGAAAGATGTGGAAATGCGCGGGATGAAGAGGGAAAGGGGAACAGGATAGGAACCGGGGGCAGGCTAGCAGTGATTGTTGATATTCAACTACTTGCCACTCCTTGTTTGCTCTCTCTATCCTCTTTGTATGTATGTGTATATACATGTGTGTCCGTGCGTGGGTCTTTGTGCGTGTGTGTTTATGCGTGTGTGTAAGTTCAACAAGTCATTCATGTCAGTTGGTTGTGATTGTTTCAAGGTGTGGTGCTGGTTGTCAAATGTTGTAGCCTATAGTGAGGTTTGTCTTAGGGGGTACAAAACTTAGGGTTAGCTATATGTACCCCAACCAACATCAATGCATCATCCATTCCTCATTTTGACATGGTATCAGTTAGGTTAGGATCCTGTGGGATCCCGTTCCTCCGTTCTCCGTTCGTATCTCCCGAGCCTGATCCTACCTCTCGTTCGTACCGGTTCCGTTGTTACCGCGCCTAGTGCCGAGCCTAGCGCCCTTCCCCCCGTCGCCTAGCGCCCTTTCCCCCCCGTCACGTCGCGCCCTTTCCCCCCGTTGCGTCGCGCCCGTTCCCCCCCGTCGAGTCGCGCCCTTTCCCCCCGTCGCGTCGCGCTCTTTCCCCCCGTCGCGTCGCGCCCTTTCCCACCGTCGCGTCGCGCCCTTTCCCCCCGTCACGTCGCCCTGCCCCGTCCCGTCGCCCTGCCCCGTCCCGTCGCCCTGCCCCGTCCCGTCCCGTCGCCCCGTCCCGTCCCGTCGCCCCTGCCCCGTCCCGTCCCCGTCCCGTCCCGTCGCCCTGCCCCGTCCCGTCCCGTCCCGTCCCGTCCCGTCGCCCTGCCCCGTCCCGTCCCGTCGCCCCGTCCCGTCCCGTCGCCCCTGCCCCGTCCCGTCCCCGTCCCGTCCTGTCGCCCCTGCCCCGTCCCGTCCCCGTCCCGTCCCGTCGCCCTGCCCCTGCCCCGTCCCGTCGCCCCGTCCCGTCGCCCTGCTCCGTCGCGTCGCCCTTCCCCGTCCCGTCGCCCTGCCCCGTCGCGTCGCCCTTCCCCGTCCCGTCGCCCTGCCCCGTCGCGTCGCCCTGCCCCGTCGCGTCGCCCTGCCCCGTCGCATCGTGCCCGCCCTTTCCCCCGTCCCGTCGACCCTACGCCCTGGCCCGTCGCTCTAGCCCGCTCTTCCGCTGCGACTAAGTCCCACCTGCACCCTAATTTGCCTCTTACCTCCTGCTGTTACTCGCCTGCTCGTTCGCGTTAGTTTTCGCTATGGCGACTCCGCGAGTTCTTCGTTTCGACGCTGACGGTAGACCTCTTGACTTTTCCGTCTGGCTTCTTCGTGCTCGCCGTCTGTTAGAGAGTCAAGTCCAGGGGGGCGAGACCCTCTGGTCGCACGCTACTGGTGACCTCCCCGAGCCCCCCGAGCCTGCCGCTTTAGGTCCTGCCCCTGACGATGCTGCTACGGCTCGCTTTGCCCGTCAGCGCGCTGACAGGACGGCTTAAACGTCACGTGACGCTGCGGCCTGCATCGCACTCAGCAGCCTCCTCCCTGAGTCAGAGGAGGTCCACTTCACTCAGGTTCGCACCGCTGCTGCGTACCTCACTGCGATTAAGGCCCGCTACTCTACTCCCGCTACTGTCTCTCTTGGCCGTCTTTTCCTCCCGTTCCTGTTTCCTGATCTCGCCTCGTTTGAGCGCTCTGCTGACTTGATCGCTCACCTCCGCTCGCTCGACGCTAGTTACCGCGCTGCTTGCACTGAGGCACAGCTTGCACTGCTTCCTCCCCCCATGGCGATTACTATCTATTTCATCGCCACTAGCCTCCCTGACCGCCTTGCCTCCGTACGTGACGCGCTCCTGCTGAAGCACCCTAGTGAGCTGACAGTTGAGGTCCTTGAGTCTGCGCTCAAGGACGTCGAGAGCAACCTTCGCTCGGTAGCTGCCGCCTCTGGTGCTGTGCCCCCCCCACTCTTCCACGGGTGCACAGTCCCGCAGTTACCCACCTTCACTGCCTCTCTTGCCACTGCCGCTACTGACGCGACTGCAGCTGCTGCTACGACTGCGTCGCGGTCCCGCGGCAAGGGGGGCAAGAAAGGTGGTTCTGGTGGAGGTGGAGGCGGAGGTAGCGGAGGTAGTGGGGGTGCTGTTGCGACTGGCGGTGGTGGGAGTGCAGCGTCTGGAGAGACCTCTCGTGCAGCGGCTGGTGACTCCACTGCGCCTGCTGGTGGTGGCGACGCCCGAGCTCGTCAGTCGTCTCCTGTACTGCCGGCCCCGCTAGGTGGAGCAGCGGCGTGGTACCAGGCTCAGCGTCAGCAGCGGCTTCAGCAGCACCAGCAGCCCCTCTCCTCCCAGCAGCCTCAGCAGCAGCAGCGTCAGCAGCTGGCTCCGGGGTCGGGGCTGCGTCAGCCCCAGCGTGGTGCTGCTTACCCTCCCTGCACCTATCAGGTTCTGACAGGTCCTCGTCGGGGCCACCCTTGTGGCCGCTTTCACCCCCCTGGTCAGTGCTTTGCTCAGCTCACTGACACGGTCCGGTTGGCCTACGGGGTTGGCGGTCCTGCCCTTGACTGGCTTCCTCTGGTTCAGCGCTACGGCTCCGCTCTGTGGGGCATGTCTGCTGAGCAGTTAGTTGATCTGATTGGTGCTCCTCATGCTATGTATGCTGTTGTTGACTCTAGTGTTTCTGACTCTGCTTACTCTGGTGTTGTTAGCTTAGGTGCTAGCCTTGCTCAGTTGCCTGTTGCTAGTGTAGGTTCTTGTGTAGACTCTAGTCCAGCGGCTACCTCAGAGGACGGTTCGCTGTCGTTCACGCTGGACTCTGGAGCCTCTCACTGCTTCTTTCGTGACAGCACGACACTTACGCCTCTTCCTGCGCCTGTTTCTGTGGCGCTGGCTGATCCCACTTCGGGACCAGTCACCGCGCGTCACACTACCACCTTGCCGTGTCCGGCTGCTCCTTCTGGGTCTCTCACTGGGTTTCACGTCCCCTCGTTCTCCCAGAACTTGGTGGGCGTGCGACCCCTTGTGAGTCAGCACGTGGGTGTGTGGTTTGAGCCTTCTGGAGAGACTGCGGTGTGTGTTGACGGGGACTCTTACCAGCCCCTCGCCACTTTTGCTGCTGAGCCGGGCTCCGGTCTCTACACTCTTCACACTGGCCCGCGCGCTCAGCAGCGACTGCAGCAGCAGCAGCAGCCGCAGCAGCAGCTGCAGCAGCAGCCGCAGCAGCAGCAGCGGCAGCAGCAGCAGCCGCAGCCACAGCGGCCGCCGTCACAGCAGCCCCTCCTCCCAGTTCCTGTCCCTCCCCCTAGTCTCCTCCCTGCGTCTCACCAGGTGGTTCCGTCCTCTCAGGTTGTCGCGTCCAGTCCAGTCGCTGCGTCTTGCTCCTGTCGGTCGCTTGCCCACCCCACCGTTCTGTGGCACCACCGGCTGGGACACCCTTCTCTTCCACGTCTGCGTGCTATGTCTAGTCAGCGTCTGGTCTTAGGTCTCCCGCGTGTCTTGCCGTCGCTGCCGCCGTCCCTTGCACCACCGTGCGGTCCTTGCGTCGAGGGTAGGCTGCGTGCCACCCCTCACTCCTCCTCCCTTCGTCCGGCCACCGAGCCTTTTGAGACACTGCACTTGGACGTCTGGGGCCCCTCTCCTCGCCCTGGCCCTGAGCGTGAGCGTTTCTTTTTGGTGGTCGTTGACGACTACTCCCGCTACACCACAGTGTTCCCCCTGGCGAGGAAGTCTGAGGTGACTTCTACGCTGATCAGGTGGTTGCTTACCACCCAGGACACTCGTGGTCGTCGTGTCAGCTGTCTCCACTCCGACCGCGGGGGCGAGTTTCGCTCCGGCATTCTCGCTGGATTCTGTCGCGAACAGGGCATTCGTCAGTCCTGGACGCTTCCGGAGTCCCCACAGCAGAATGGGGTTGCTGAGCGTCGCATAGGCCTGGTCATGGAGATTGCCCGCACCTCCTTGACTCACGCCCGTGCCCCCCATTTCCTGTGGCCATACGCAGTCAGGTACGCCGCGCACCAGCTGAACCTCTGGCCACGCGTCTCTCGGCCGGAGGCTTCACCGACCAGTCTTTGGACAGGGTCCCCTGGTGTCGCGTCGAGGTTTCGTGTCTGGGGGTGCTTGGCTCTTGTCCGCGACACCTCCGCGGACAAGCTCTCGCCTCGCGCCGTTCCTTGTGTCTTCCTTGGTTTCCCTGAGGACTCCTCTGACTTCACCTTTTACCACCCTCCCTCTCACCGGTTCTTTGACTCCCGTGACGTCCGTTTCGAGGAGTCCACCCCCTACTACGTCAGGTACCCCAGTCGAGGTCTCCCGGTTCCTCCTCCCCCCCTCTTCCTGACAGCCGCTCCCCCGCCTGCTCCCCCGGTACAGCCTCCCCCCCCTGGTCCAGCCCCGTCTGGTGTGTCTCAGGCTAGCCCTCCCCCTTCGGTAGCCCCCCCTGTACAGCCTCCCTCCCCACAGTCTTCCTCGCCGCCTCCTGCAGGTGCTCCCTCTCGGGAGGTTGGTCCTGCGACTGTCCCTGTACAGGTCTCTGGTTCTGGGGGTGCTGGAGTTGGAGCTGAGCCGCGGGTTGCAGAGGACTCTTGTCTTCCGGGGGCTGGTACTGGTCGTGCGGAGTCTGGGGGTGCTGGTGCGGAGTCTGGGGGTGCTGCGTCTGGGGGTGAGGGTGTTCCTTCGGTTTCTGGAGAGCCTGGGTCTGGAGCTGGTGTTGGTGCTGCCTCTGGGGGTGGTGTGCTTGGTGCTTCGGAGGTCGACTCTGGGGCTGCCGCTGCCCCGGACACTACTCCTTCCCCCCACCCCTACCCGACCAGGTTCCAGGCTCGTGTTCGCCGTGCTCGTGAGGAGCAGCTGGAGTTGGAGAGAGAGGAGAGAGAGTTGCAGCGGCTCGAGGAGCAGGAGCGACAGCAGCAGGGGCAGCAGCC